GTTGACCATGATAGACGTGTGCAGTGGTATGAGGGGTGTCAACAAAAATAAACCCCCCCATTCTGAGCTGGGCCCAATCGTCCTGTCTCTTCTAAGTGGACAGAAAACCACCGCGAACAAGTAAGAACTGGAAACAAAGGAGGAAAGTTTGTTCATTAAAAACTTCCTGTTTTCTTTCACCTATTTATACTCCGTGTTTACAAGCTGCAACACTGTGAACACCCCAAACTGCAAATTATTTTGGTCCCAGTCTGTTTCAATGTTTCCTACACATACACCATGTATATAGTTCCACTCACATATGTATACATATACACAGTTTTTTATTTTATTCTATTTATTTAATTATTTATTTATTTTCCACCTTCGTTGTATATCGGTTTCTCTTCTTCATACTTTAGCACCTTTGTGGTTCAGCTACACAATTTCGCTGTGCAAGAAACTGCACAATGACAATAAAAAGTCTAAATTCTTATTGTAACTCTGATATTTATTTATTTTCTTCTCCTTTTTATGTCGATTTATTAGCTTTTTTTGCACTGATGTAACCGGAGCCTCGTCGTCTCGTATGCTGATGACAATAAAGTTTACTTTGACTTGGTGCAGTTAAACCTGCGACCACAATGCAGATACTCACATGACGCTGCACTGTTTCTGCAGGAGTGGGAAGCTGACTTTGCTCCTTCGAGAGTCCCTGGGCCACACAAGTTGCCACACCACAGTAATTGCTCAAATCATGGACTCTTTGGCACACCTTCAAGAGAACTTCTCCACCATCCAGCTCGCTGCTCGTTTTCGCAGGACGCAGAAGAGGACGAAGGTAGTATAAATGACAGAGTCACTCTTTATCTAGCAAACAAAATTGTTGAATGTTGCTTCGGATTTATGAGACTTATCTAACAGCATCATCCACCTTCGTCCTCAGCAGTCTACCTCGTGTTCTCCTTGTGCGAGGAGTCTGACGAGAGAAAAAAGAGGGCTGCAGTCGTTCTCCCTGCGGGCGTTCCACTCCACCGATGAGGTCGACGTCGACATCCGTCCTTTTCGCCTGCGTGATGAGCTGGATGAACGCTCCAGCAGTGAGCAGTCTTGCGACACAGTCATCCAGATAGACTCAGATGGCTCAGTCCACCCCAGATCAGCCCCGAGGCAGGCACTGCCCGAGTTTGTACCAATCATACCGTCTTTGCACCCTAACAAACCGGACTTGGACGACCCCGAGTTTGCTGCTCTCCTCCAGGAGCTTCTGAGAATTCCTCAGCTGCAAGTAGAGAAGACGACAGAGTCTGCTCTCCTGGGGCAAACCGACGCTTTGAAAGGAGAAAAGAAGCAACCAGAGAGGGACTGTCTCAAATGTGACACGTTTGCTCAGCTTCAAGAACGTCTGGGGTGTATCGATGGAAGTGAAATGACCATGGATGTGCTCAGATCTTCCTTAAAAGGTTTAAATAATGTCCCTGTTAAGTCCCAGCACCAGGAGGAATCTGTAAAACGAGCAGACGCTGAAGCTCCACAGACGCTGCTGATTAAGGGGTCGAGCTGCAGTCAGACCTCTGCTGCAGAAAAGCAAACAGACGGCGCCGGCCCTGGAGACAGTTTCCAGAGAGAAGATTCGGGTTTGTACGACTGTGAGGAGTGTAGTGCGACCAGCTCCAGTGAGGAACTGCTCAATCAGACTCTTGGTCTGAACGCGACCTGCCGCTCTGAGCCTTCCAACACCAGGACGCTTAAATCAGGTAACGGGTTTTCTTCCAAGCGCTTTAATGTGGACGCAAAGGTCAAAGCAGGGGCCAGTTCTCTTGCACTTGAACCTTCACACAAACAGGAGAAAGCTGAAACTGCTGATTGGTTCAAAACAGACAAAAGGACCTCACCAGTTGGCAAAAGCTCCCCCATATCTCCTTCTTCTACCTGCTCCTCTTCACACTCCCTGGCTAAAAGTGTTATACTCGCTGACGTCCTAAACAGTCGCCCCAAACAGGAAGTTAAGGAAATGAAAGCCACGATCACAGTGACGGTTCAGCAGCCGCTGGACTTAAAAGGTCAGGATGAGCTGGTGTTCTCTATGGTGGAAGAGGTGACCATCAGTGGAGCGTATGACAGAGCGAGGACAGGTGGAAATATTATTTGCATCAGAGACGGAGCTCATTCACAGGCACAGGCTGAAGACTCAGCGAGTTCTCAGCCAATCCAGATCATCAGCAACGTCGGCGAGGAATCTGCAGCCTCAGGCTCCTCTGGTGCTCCCGAAAGCTCTGCTGTTCATCCTGCTGGCACTGAAAAGTCCCAGCATCAAGTCAGAAGGGAGAAAAGGGCGTTGCCTTCATTTATTAACCCCATGTTGATTAATGCAGACGTGGATTGTGACTTGGACAACGAAGGTCATTGTGAAACTTTAGCAGGAGTCAGGTCAGAATCAGAGTCCAGAAGAAATACAGCGAGATGTTCAGAGGACAGGGAGGTCCTTCAGCAGGAGTGTGCACCTGTAGCTTCTCACAAACATGTCAAGAAGACTGACAAGTCTGGTA